AATTTTTTTTCTCAGAAAAAAAAAATCTGTGTGTTTGGTTGTGTTCGAAAAAAAAAAAAACACCTTTAAAAAAAAAAAAAAAAAAAAAAAAAAAAATATATATATATATATATATATATATATATATATATACATAAATAAAATAATATATATATTTGTTCTATAGCCCATATTTTATAAAAAAATTAAATTGATGATAATGGAAAAATCCAGAATACTGAGAAAACATACAGTTTTGTTATTTTCCTTCACTTTCATTCTTCTTATATCTTCAACTTTTGCCAAAACCCCTGGAGGGACAATACAAAATTCAACGACATTAGCAAGCAAAGTGAATTCAGCTGCCGGTACGGAAACATCATTTAATTCTGTAACTACCCCTAAAAATACCCAGAAAAATACCCAGAAAAATACCCAAATAAATACCCAGATAGATTCACAGATAAATTCACAGATAAATACTCATATAGCCACTCCAACTTCACCAAAAACTTCAGTTCAAAATTCAAATAAAATTCTAATTTCCTCAAGAATTCTTTCTATGACTTCAAATTCCAACACACAAACTACAGAGTCTACTCCTTCACTCGCAATTAATGACAACTTGCCCGTGAATGTCACTTCCAATTCATTAGTAATTATCAGTCCGACTACTACGTCTGTTCACTTTGATACCAAAGCGGCCACAATTGTTCAGTAAGTGCTTAATAATTCTTTCACTTGGAAACTTTTTGTTGAAATCTCCGAATTAATATTTTACGCATTTAGTCCAATCTCATCAAATAGTCCTACGTCTAATCCATCTACTCCCGTGTCTAAGGCATCCGTGACTGATGCACCCCCTGCTCCCGTGACTAATTCATCCCCTACTAACGTACCCTCTGGAACTCCTTTTAAAATACCATCTTCTACTACATCAAAGCCCATTCAACAACAAGATTCTACTCCATTAGCAGCTGCCGGACCTTCAAAAACAACGACGCTTTTTCTTAGTACGACTAGTGTTATTGCAGCATTTACTACGGAAATTACGACCACTAATTCTAATGGTGATGCGACTGTATTAGAATCTAGCATCCCAGCAACTACCGTTGTAGCTGGTTATCAGGTAGTAACCGTCGTGCCAGACGTCGATGATCAATCCGCTTTGTCTTCAGCAAATATTATAAAATTTAATGCTGGCTCAAGTTTCTGGGGTGTTTGGTTAAGTATTTTTATTAGTATTATGAGTTTTATGTTTGTTGTATAGGTAATATTGTTACTGTAATAATTTAAATCTGTATAAAAAGACTAAATAGTTTTTTTGGCATGCTTAAAAATAAAATTTAGTTTAATGCACTGCATTTTTAAAAGACTTGTATAATAATAGTAATAAAAAAAATAAAAAAAAAACAATTTAATAATCTATAAATTTTGCCTTTTAATTTCAGAATTTTAATACTTAAATATTACAGTAATTCATAACTAAAAAAATTTATTAACAATTCCGAAACGAGATATTCATGCAAATTTAAAAACACGCGCGCTAGTGATATTTTAATATTCGAAAGAAATTAAGGTTTTTGAAATGTTAACGCTAACTAGTGATCCGCACGGATCGGATCGGACGGATATTATTAAAGATCTGAACCCGATCCGAAAAATCGGATCGGATCCTAGTTAAGATTCGAATTTGGGTCAAAGATCCGGATCCTATTGTCAGAGGCAAAATCGGTATAACAGAAAAGAAGGAACCGTGCCGCAAAGTGATTAGCGAAGCTCAAGAACCGATCCAAAGACCCACATACCAAATAGGACCCGGATCGCATGTGAAGATCCCGCAAGACCAATGATCGGCAAATTCGTGGTTAAACCCGAAAAGGCATTGTTGGATAATTAACCCGATTGTCAAAGATGCGGCTTAGAATAACAATGGGTTGAATTAACCATATCCGGATTAGTTCGTGGCCGTGTCTCAACGCCATGACGAAGTTTAAGGCTGTTCATTGAATTAACGAAGTAAAACCTTCGTTAGATTTCTTTTTCTTTCTTTTTTGTTGCTTTTCTTGTGTACCCGAAACATGTATAAAAGAGATGTAAATTTAGAGAAAGAACAATAATTAATGAATATTAGGAGTAGTGTAAGAAAAGACCAAGATAAATAAATAAAACACTTACCTTCGCATAACGTTTCGCTACTGCCTTGACCCGTGCCAAATCAAATTCCGCCTCTTCTTTAAGTAGTGTTACGTTGTGCTGTGTGTTGGTTTCTGTAGTGAAGTTGTCGCTGTGTTTCTTTTAGTTAGAGGTAGTGTTGTTAGCCTCCGACAATTTTTGGTGGTGACTGTGAGATATGTAACACTAAGATAGAACGCAACCCACGTTTACTTGGATAATTTTTTTTTATTTGTTTTGTGAAAATTTTTGTGAATTTTTTTTTTACTAACCTGTGTGTATTAGTTTTTGTTGTTTTGTTATTTTGCGAAAGTAAACGATAACATATAAGTAGTTATGAAAAATTAAAAAAAAAAAAAAAAAAAAAATGTATGAAGTATACTATCTCCAATCTGAACTTTTGGTGATATGGAAGCCAAATAGAAAAACCCTGATATTAGCAAGTCTTTAAAAAC